TTTTTTTTCTATATTTAAGGATGCGACTTCTACCCTAAAACATTTTTCGAGCCATTTTTATTTGAAAAACTATCGAGTCGGTGAACGAGATCATTTTGCAGCTCCTTTTTTTTAAACTATCATCACCATAAAAATTTGAACAAAAACTATCGAGTAAATATTTTAAACGACAACAACGTTAAAAGTAATCATTTCTATTTTAATTCTTATCCTAATCTAATTTATTTAGCACTTGTAAATTTCATTGATAGAAATGATTTTTGCTGTCAATGAAAGCAGCGTCATTACCAAGAGCAACGCCACGTCGTTCACCAAGTATGAGTCATCGAAATCCGGGTGTACGTATAGGTCCTTGATGTACCTCACTTGCCTTGGTGATACTTCCTTATCATCGAGTTTCACTCCTCCGGTAAAAACGTAAAACGATGCGGGGCTCAGCAACTCATCATTTCGATACATGCAGTGAGCAGCAGTGAGAATCCATTTTTCGCTGATTATGCTGGCTCCACAGAAATGACTAGATGTATAGCGTCTTCTCAGTGAAACCTAGAATTGTTCAATTTTGGAAAAATATTTCTTTTCTCATCAATAAGGTAAAAAATAGACATGTGGGTGTTGCTAATGGTTTAAAAATTACTTTTTTTCACTGTTTATAGTTTTTCTAAATGATTGTCAAGATGAGTCACATATGAAATCAACGATTGGCTGACAAAAACAATCCATTTAATTTGTGATTTATTTAGCATTTATTAGTTATTTTTGTGCGTATTGTTATTGCGATGATTTATTTTTGTATGTATTATTATGATGTTCAAATAATTATTTTATTGTTATTAAAAATTTATTTTTGAGTCATTTTTGTTTATTCATGATTATTTACAATCGCGAGTGAAAATTATGTGAGGCGACCTTGAGGTTTGATCAGGACGTGATATGATGGTGGTCAGCTTCAACTGATCAGGCAGAACTTGATAAAGAGCTCATCAGTCTTTGATTTACTCAACCTGACCCGTACTACTCTGATCAAGTTCGGATCAGGTGCGCTTGAACTAAGTTATTTAATTATTAATTTATTATTGCTATTATTATTAAAAGTATAATAGATGAAATTTTAATGATGTAAGTTTTCACTTTTTAAAGTGAGCATATATCGCCAATACTAGAGTTCACTTGATAATAGAGCGATAGGCTAGGCGTTAAATACCTTTTCCATAACAAGTGCTCAACATTGTATGCAGTAAATAAGTTATTGGATTCTGTATGGTTGAACGGATTAATTTTCATTTTCTTACAGAATAATTTCCCTATTCCATTACTCAACTTCATCTGGAATATGATTCATAATAAAAAATTCAAAGTCATTAATGAGAGCAAGAATATGAGCGTCACATTTAACATTAAAGAAGGACTCCAGCAAGGAACAATAAATTCTCCTCGTCTATTCTTCATATTTACCTCCCATATAATAGACGCCTTTGAATTAATCTCTCGCAATAACACTCATTCATTAGCCTATACTGACGATCGAATAATTTTCGCAACAGATAACACCGGAAATAGAATATCGGAAAAACTAAAAACTTAAGTTAATTTACAACATGTCCAAGAGCGAAGCTATACTTTTCTAAAATCACAGTCCCAATTACGAATGATGTTTCGATAATCCCCAATACACATATGGTATAAGACTTAGGTATCCATATTGTAACGAATGGCTAATTTCCCCTTATGCTAGCTTTACTTCTTCTTTTATCTTTTTAAAATATCCCTCCTCTGATTCATATATTCATTCTTTCTATTGTTTCATCTTTCTCCTGACATATTAATTACGCCTCAACCTTAATAATTAAACTTTATTAATTTAAACCTCACGTGCTTATCAAGATTATATCAACTTGTTGGGTACTCTCAATATTTGACATTCAGCTGTGAAAAACAAGATCCCGTTACAAAATTCTGAGTTATTTGTTCCATAACAAGCATGTAGATCAGAGAGCAAGAGCTATCTGCTACTGATTATTGATCAGGCCGGTGATGATATATGGATCTAGGATCGTTTGGAATCTCGGGGCCCATCAAGAAAAATTTAGGAGGTGAATTGAAAAGATACAACACGAGCCTCACTAAAATTTAAAAAAAAATAAGGCCGCTAATCCACATATTCACCAAAAAAGGAGTCTAATGATTAGGGTGTAGCATTGGTACTTGTAAGATATCGATCAAAATAATTAGGTTTTTTCAGCATTAATTATGGTAGGTATTCATTGATAGAAGTAAATTAATTATTTTTCATTCATTACCATTCGTAAAAATGTTCGATTTCGGTTATCAAGCACTAATGCCTTTCGTTTCATCAAACCTTGATGCGGCCCGCCTTATCAAATCTGGATATAATCAAGGCTTTACATCCTAGATCAAATCTTGATCAAGTTGTAGGATCAGTACTTGATCCAACATCAAGCCTAATGGGATAAGACCATGTATGTATGCAAAGTCAACCGTTAATTGCCGAAAGGAGCCTTTTTTGAAGAAATAAATGATAGGCATCGCTTTCTTACCCCTAAATAAATCACCATTGCGCTACCAGATGAAATCGAGAGAAAATCATATTTACCATATGTGGAAATTGAGCCAGCTGAGCTTTCGTTCCGTTCACAATCCTCCCATCAACTTTCTGAGTAATTGTGTCCTCTAGCGACAGATCATTTTCCGTTCCTTACCAAGAAAAATCAAGGAACAATGTAACAATCTTCACCACAGACATAAATTTGTGAATAATTACCAAAAATAACATTAAAAATTAAAAATAAATGATCAAATAAGAGGATTTTTAGCAATGGAAATTAGGGAAGAATAATGTAAAAGAAAATACATATAATTTTTCTATTTCATGGCACAAGATTAGCCGATGGCGAAAAAGATAGAGGTGACTCTCAATATTTAGGACAACAGTTGTCCTACTTTTGAGAGATAAGTGATGCTTTTACTTCCGATCGAGCAGCTGTACCGAATTCATAACAAAATTTACCTTCGGTATTAATCACAAAAGCCCCCAACACCGTTGACAAAACAATCAATATTGACCACTGCATTGTCAACCAATGATTTCACTGTATCTGAGAATGGCTTGTCACTTAGAACAACAGAACATTTGAGTTTATCTGCGAAGTTAATACCCCGTGCATCAGGTATTTATCATGATCCCTTATCGGTTATCTCCACTCAATTCTCTTTGGAATTTCCAATTTTCCCCCCACGCGATGTAATCGGAATCAATAGAAATGATTAAATTATACGATTATTCAGTAGCCAAGTGGTAAAAAGTGATGAGTAAGAATTCAAAATTTATGACTAGTATATTAAGTATATTAAATGATTTAATGTAAGTATATTAAATGATTTAAAGTGGAACCCTTCACTGAAAAAAAGTTCTCTTGCCGAAAATATTTACGTTCCAGCCGTTAATTTATGTAAATACTTCTTGACACATGCTAATGCCAAATCAATTTTCATGTGATTAGTAAATATACTAGAGAAAAAAGCATGTTTGTTTTCGCAACTCATTGAAATATCTTTCCGTCAAAGATATTTTATTATATTTTTCGCTAAAGTCAATATTTTTGCAGGTTTCAGTAATTGATCAAAGTTATTGATTGAGACATTCGATTTTAAGGGTGACTGTGTCGCCTCTTCAAATGAATGAATATCTGTAACACTCTTTCCGTAAACTTATCAGAAACAATATGAAAGGCTGATTACAAAATTATAGAATTCCCCGGACTAGAATCAGATATGGGGTTTTTAGTAGCCGATCGAACTCGTCTTATCAGACATTTTATTCAATGAATTATTGCATAAGATATCGAAAGGAATTCTTCACACAAATAATTGCTACGTACTTGTGAATGATTCTCAGAAGTAGTCAAAGCAATTAACTGTTTGACTTATTTTAATTTTTATCCCGAAAAATAATTTACAACTTTAACTGCTGGGAAATTGATCAGACCTTCTCTCACGACATAGAAGGTTCATATTATGGGCACATTCTGCCAAACGGTCCGGGAGATATTACATCCTTTGTGTGGATCTACTCCTTGAATATCTCATGCACTACTCAACGCATTTCAAATGTTTTTTTTTTTTTCAAAACAAGACCGAACGCTCACTATTTTCATGTTCCTCTGATACTATTTCAAAAATTATGCATTTTCGCATTTCAGTGAATACCTCCTCAATTTTCAGGCTCCCCTGATCCATTTTTTAAATTTCGAATTTTACAATTCCAGTGAAAACCTCCTCGATTTTCATGTTCCTCTGATGTCAGAGGAACCAGTCGACGGGGTGAATGATATTTTGTGCGTTACGAAATTGATATTCACTGAAATTGAAAAATTCGAAAGTTTCAAAAAAGTATCAGGGGAGTATGAAAATCGAGGAGGTATTCACGAAAATTAAAAAATTCGAAGTTTTCAAAAAAGTATCAGAGGAGTATGAAAATCGAGGAGGTATTCACGAAAATTAAAAAATTCGAAGTTTTCAAAAAAGTATCAGGGGAGCATGAAAATCGAGAAGGTATTCACTGAAATTGGAAAAGTCGAAATTTTTAAAAAAGTATAAGGGGAACGTCAAAATCAAAGAGGTATTCACTGAAAGTTTAAAATTCAAAATTGATATAAAAGTATCAGGGGAGCATGAAAATCGAGGAGGTATTCACTGAAATTGAAAAATTCGAAATTTTCAAAAAAGTATCAGGGGAGCATGAAAATCGAGGAGGTATTCACTGAAATTTGAAAAATTCGAAATTTTCAAAAAAGTATCAGGGGAGCATGAAAATCAAGAAGGCATTCACTGAAATTGGAAAATTCAAAATTTTCAAAAAAGTATCAGGGGAGCATGAAAATCGAGGAGGTATTCACTGAAATTGAAAAATTCGAAATTTTCAAAAAAGTATCAGAGGAGCATGAACATCGAAGAGGTATTCACTGAAATTGAAAAATTCGAAATTTTTATAAAAGTATCAGGACAGCATGAAAATCGAGGAGGTATTCACTGAAATTGGAAAATTCGAAATTTTTAAAAAAGTATCTGGGGAGGCTGAAAATCGAGAAGGTGTTCACTGAAATTGAAAAATTCGAAATTTTTATAAAAGTATCAGGGAAGCATGAAAATCGAGGAGGTATTCACTGAAATTGGAAAATTCGAAATTTTTAAAAAAGTATCTGGGGAGGCTGAAAATCGAGAATGTGTTCACTGAAATTGAAAAATTCGAAATTTTTATAAAAGTATCAGGAGAGCATGAAAAACGAGGAGGTATTCACTGAAATTTGAAATTTCGAAATTTTTCGAAAAGTATGACGGAAGCATGAAAATCGAGGAGGTATTCACTGAAATTGAAATATTTAAAATTTTCAGAAAATAAAATTCACCCAGTCGATTGGTCTCTCTGATAGCAGGACTGCTACTGAGGGCTGAGGCAGTTACCGAGTCGGCTGCCGGGCAGATATCCCCATTGCGTGTGGCGCCCTCCCTTTCTTGGGGTGCAGTACTACGATGCCGCTGAAGTCACTCAAATCCTAGAACTAAGCCTCTACTTTAGTCAATGCTCTTTGTTGAAGCCTTTCCAATCTTGGCTAAAATTTTTGATCACATGGTTGACTCTAACGTGTTTATAACAAATAAAAAACCACTCTTAAAAATCTAATTCTATATCACAATGATCTACAAACGAGATACAATTGATTCAGTGAATTCGTTTATTCCACAATCATTTTTTTCTAGCTACTGTAATATTGGTTAGGTTTTTCCTTCCAACACATATTTCAGTCTATTCAGTGGAAGTGAAAAACGTGGGAATTATGGATGTTGTCAAGGCAATTCTCCAGGAAGACAGTCAAGACCAGAGTCGTTCGACTGAAGTTGATAAACTAATAGAGCTCGACATAGATGAGGGGACACTTTTGGCTTCAGACTACAACGCATTTGATAGTGAACGCTTGAAGTAAGTTTAGATATTTATAACCTCAATCTGGCATTTCTTTCGGAGAATCACTGTATTATTTACAATTGTTTTCGATAATTCCAGGGCAAATAGGGAAGATTTCTTGAAGGCTCTGACGAGGGACAATGTTCAGCTGCTCATCAATAAAATCTGGCAACTCCCCACAAAGAGAGTCGATGAGGCTATTATCGCCGAACTGCCAAAGCCAACGTACGTTGTTCCAAGGGCCAGGGTGGTGCCAAAACCCAAACCTTTGACCAAGTGGCAGCAGTTTGCTAAAGAGAAAGGCATTAGATCTAAAAAGAAAGGAAACTCTAAACTCAAATGGGACGAGCAACTCAACGTAAGTGTTATGACGAGATTATTTCGATAATTTACTCATAAATTTATTATTTACAATTAGGTTTCCTAGTACAATAGATTGGTAAAGGAAGGCAATAATTAATGTATTTTGTACTTTGTGTATTAATAACGAATGTGTGAAATAATCTATTTGGGGGATTTAATCACTTAGAAATGGATTCCAACGTTTGGATACAAACGAGCACAAGCTCAGGAGCAGAAAGACTGGTTGGTGGAAGTTGGACCTGATAATACACCAAAAGCAGATCCCAGGGAGACTGCTAGCAACGCCAAACAGGAAAGAATGGCTAAGAACGAACTCCAGAGGCTCAGAAACATTGCCAAATCCAAGAATGTTAAAATTCCGAGGGTGGGGCTACCAACAACTGAACAATTCGCCTCATCCAAACAAATGGCAACGGCCACGACTATAGCCAGAGTCTCCACAGCGTCTGTTGGGAAATTCCAGAATAAGTGAGCCTCATAACTACAGAAATACTGATTTTTCACCATTACTGATACTAATACAACTCATTAATTATCAGATTACCCAAAGAGAAGGATTCGAGAGATCAAGTCGTCAAGGAAGTTCCTGGTATAAAGAAGAAAAGGAAGGCACCACCCTTGAGCATCGTAGAGGAGAAGCGTCGAAATACAGATTTAGTCAGTGACATTGTCAGCAAAAAGAGTTCTAAAGACATTCTAAGAGTGGATATCCCAACAGTTCCTTCCTCGATGTGAGTTTCTTCAAACAATTAATTTGACAGGCAAGCTAAAATGAATTCTCAATCATTTAATTGGTGATCATTTATATTTTCAGATCCAGAGACTCCAGGAAATCCAAGAAAGGCAGTAAAAATTCCATTGGATCGAAAAAACCGAAAGCTGGAAAGGGGAAAAGAAATCCTCACACTAAAGTTGGAGGTAGAAAGCGCAGGGGATAATGTAATGTAATTCATTGAAATATCTATTTTCATTGATTAAAGACATTATTAAAAATAAATTGAACAGATGTTTCATCACTTTGGTTTCTTATGTCACCCAAAACTTTCTTCTTCATGACTCACACGAAAAAAATGTATATTCATACGTATTTGAAATAAGTATATTTCCAAGATTTTCTTGGTCGTCAACCGATGGTTGTCCAAGTCGTTCGAAACAACCCACCCCACCCCACATCTCTCCCCAACCTCTCGAAACGGTGAATGAAAAGCTCGATGGAGTTGGCTGAGTCGATAAGACAGAATAGCAGCACCCCCTGATTTTTTTAAAGGCTCAGAGTGAAACATCGAGGTAAGTCGACAGTGTGAAAATATGAAAGGTCAAAAGTAGCGATGAAAGCGCGGTGAATATCGACTGGAGCTCGTGCGGATCGAAGGGGGTGGAAAAAGGGGCGGGTGGGGTGTCCTAGCCTAGTCACGGATGACCGAGAAACGTGAGGTACAAAGGGAAGGGGTTGATAAGCGAGGATAGCGTGAACGAAATCGGGACAGAAGTTGCAGTGATGGTAACTCGAGCGAATCAGCGACGAATACCCCCAAAATTCGTGGAACAATAATAATATCTCATTGTTAAATTGAAAAAAATAAATAAAACAGCCTGGACTATTGTGTGGAGAATTTTTTTCTGTTATCATCGATGCGTCGAAAGGCGAAATATCCATGGGCGCGCACTGCAGTTTGCGCGAATGTCGTGTTGAGTGATAATCCATAGAAAGACCGAGACTGTTTATTGGTTCTGATAAATTCAATTGAAGATACTTAATTGAAGTGAATAAAGAATCTCCGATGGAAATACATCCGGGTCTGGTGGAGCGAGGCCGTCCCCAGGACACCACCAGGGAGGACGGGCTCGCCATCGATATTTAACGAATAACGAATCTAGCTATCTAATTGTCAATCGTCTAAAATAATGTTGTAATTGATAAATACCGGAAACTATGGTTGTTGCCAGTGGGGCCTACTCAATCCACATCGGTTCCAATACAGAACCACAACCAGAACCACGCACGCGTCACTCGTACTCCTGCGTGCATTAAATATCATAATTGTTATTTTTTCAAATAATTCATAAAGGAATTTAACATAATTTCACATGACGATTTGAGGAATTTCGGGTGGAGGGGACGGTGTGTAGTTTATTTAACATATCCAATCGAGCCACTAAACAAATCCAATCATTTCAACAATTCGCAGGATTTTTTTACCCCAATAATTCGAATCATTTGAAATTTATTGTGACAAAAAAATAGCCACCGTGTCAGTGTCAAATCCCTGCTGATCTGCTTACCCTGCCAAAACGTTTCCAAAATCCTAATAACCGTATTTATAATGAAAGGGACCACCAGCCAGCCTCAAATAAATCGATGCAAACGATGTAAAGGCTTCACAAATCACAGCAGCCACACAAACAGAAAGAAAAAAATTAAAAATTGTTCAAGTAACTATAGTGTAGAGCGAGTAATTAGAATAATCCTGCTTATCTTTGCTTCTTCACCCACTGACCTGCATTGAATTCCGCTCGATTTGACCCTATCACAAAACCATACCCCATACCCCATACTCCATTCACAATATCCCTCGACCTACTCAATTCCGCAGAAATGAGTCCCCTTTTCTATACACACACTATCAGTTATCGCTTGTCCGCATTGCCCCTATTTGTAAATAAGAGTGAAAAAAAAAGACCCAAGAAAATTGTTCCCTTTGGTGTTTCGTGCTGAAAGCACTTGACCTCTTCTTCACACTAATCGACCACCAAGAAACGTCGATAAAACCCCCATTTTCATTTGTTTTAGAAAATCATTAACACTTATTATCAACAGTTGAGTACATTCTATTAGCCAGTTGAAAAGATGTTCATAGATGTAGATAATCGCTTTAGGATGCTTTTGATGCTTACACCCGTCAGTAGGAACACTATTAATTCAGTGTTTTATCTGGAAATTGTTGCGCAAGAAACCTAATTAGTCTTTTACCAATAATCCTGATGGATTATTAAAACACCAAATTTCAAATAAAATGCAGCAATTTCTTCCTAAAATCACTCCAACTAAAAATAATAAAAAAATTTGATCCCATAGTAGAAATCAAAAGCCTAGGCATTTTTGAACGATAAAATTTTGCAGAATGAAGAGAAATGAACGAGCTTTACTCTTAACGGTGAGTCGCCTGTCCCGGCGGCGTTAAAGCGGGAAGAAATCACTGGAGAGATTGAGAATTTGAAAAAAAAGAAGGGAAAAAATTAGAAAAAAAAATGTATGCTGCGGCGGGTGGTGCGAGTATAGCAAAGCGGCGAAATCAAAAACGCCTGCAGCTGAATAAGCAGCGTCTGGAGGCAACACACACAGCAGCAGTGAAAAAAGCAACGAGTATACCATCAGGAGCATCGGGAAAAGCCCGTACCCACTTAGCACCCCATCAGCCACAGCCACATCCACAGCCACAGTCCCAGCTACAAGCACAGACAGCAAGTCCGTACCACTCGTCGCATTGCAATCATGCTCATGGGGGTAATCGACGTAGGAGACATGAAAAACTAACACCCAATCGTTTGGCACCGCCTGTATCACCGATATTCCCTATATCACCACCACCGCTATCACTGGAATCACAAAACTCCGTAACGCATCCACTCAAGTCTAGCAATTTTCCCTTTCCGCCGCCCTCGTTTCTCGATCTCAGTTCACCATCACCTTCTGAGCTACAGGTGGGTATTAAACTTACTTATTTTCATTACCCAACGGGGAATAACGAACGTTAAATTCTTCTTTCAAGAATTGCTATGCGAGATGCGACTGAAGATAATTAATACTTTATTTCTTCTTGTGGTAAGACCATCTGACCAGTTGATGAACCATTCTCCACATCATTTCTACATTTTTTATTCAATTGATCAATTGAATAATTGAGTGTTAAATTTATCTATTAATGGCTCATTCATTGATCAGTTTACAAACGAGAATTATCTCAAAGCAATTCTGTAAAGAGAATTAGGCCGAATTGCATTGAAAAATAATTCAGTAGAATTGAGATTTGCTAAATATCGATTGATGTCAACAACTACTGATTTTAGCTGAGAATATAACTGGACATTTTTTGTTGTTAAAAATGTCATTTAATGTTCTCACGTCAACTCGATAGTTGTCGAGGTAAATCGATGATTAATAAAAATTGATAATTCTATAATCTCAGGTTTGTAATAAGCTAAATGTGACTTTATATCTTAAAAATATACAAATAGCCGCGAGCATTCTTCCTATGCACAGAAATGAATAAACTCTTTTTCTATTAGGGATTAGGTTTTCCTAGCTAGGGTACAAAGTACGTAGTTAACAATAACTATTAGATAACTTTCTCAATAAAACCGCCCGTTTTCACCCCTTGATGCACTGCACTCTAAGGCACGTTTAATTAATAAATTCACGTGCACACGAGGATGATAAAATGAATTGGCTGTCTGGTGGCATAGAGCGGGCTGGATCTTTCTCGTCTTCTCTCACCTCGATATCCATTGAGAAGGCTTCAAAGACCCAACACGAGATTATTAAGAATTAGGGATTTTTCATGGTTAACAGCAATGTGAAAAGATATTCTCTTTTATTTTTTAAAGAAAAGTGGAACAGTGAATAAAACGGGCAATTGAGTAGCGAGATGCAAAATTATTAAAAGAGAGCGAGATTAATTTAATCAATGATGAGAATAAATGAATAAGCAGAATGCAGGCTGCATTATTAATTAGACGGGAGAAGCAGCGTTTGAGGGGTGGTAAAACGGTGAATTTTAGGGAGTTGCCATCGAACTTGGCTACAAGGCTCATACCACCGCTACCACGTTATCCCCCGAGATCATACGCTTACGGGGTGAGTAAAGTATGAGGAAGAGATTGAGAGAGAAATTAATATTTTGGTAACGTTGGATAACGTTGCGATGCTTAGACTGTAGATGTAACCCAAATAACGAGGAGATATAGTCTTGATTGAGGGTAATTAATTAGAAAATCTCACGAGGTACGTAGATCATCAGTTCACTATAAGATCACTTTGAAATCATCCATCTGAAATGTTACGAATTTAGGTAATTTAGTTCATTAGATTGGAGACTAGAGAATAACTGATTGCAGATTCATTTAGAGGTAGATATCACGGGGTTAGACGTAATATCCAATTGGTATATTCCGTTTGTAGGAAGAGGAGTTGATGGAGGTTTGAATGTTGCAGTGCGGAGGCCAGGGACCAGGGAAAGCGGCTTGGCAAGGCTGCAGCAGACCATCACCGCTTCCTCTCTCTCCGGCATCCCCACACGGATCGCGTGATGGATACAAGACCAAACAATGCGAAGCGCACAGAAGATGGATGAGGAGGAACAGGGTAAATTTTTTCTTCTCATCTCCCATTGAATATCTCCCAACCTGCAGGGGATTGCAAAATTTTTACAACATGTTCTCTCCCCCTGCAAAAATATTTTCATCCTCGACAATAAACGTTTCTAACTTTTTGAAGAAGAACAAGTGTGTCTTTACTTGTATCAAGAAACTCGTGACTCAAAAATTTGCAAGAAAATCATATCTTACTCTAAGAAGAAAATGATTAAAACAGAAGTCAATAAAATTATGCACTTGTTCCTTGGTGATTATAATTTATGCATAATTACGTAATTACTCAATGAGTTTCTTCATACAAGTAAAGTAAAATAATAGTTTTATCAATGCGGGGAAAATAAAAGAATAAATAAACCAAACTCAAATAGCAAAATATTCAAATGACAAATAATTCACCTCGTTAGATACGAGACGCGAGCTACTGCTATGGAAGCAGTGGAGAAGATGACGACGAGGAAGGAAGTCTGACAAATCGTCGTCGTGGGGAGGTGAACGCGGCCTTCAATACAGTCCTGTACGCTGGCCTTGGCACAACAGCTTTGGGTCTGGTGATCTCATTTGTTGGGACCGGTGAAAAGGGCTTCCTCAGTCCTGAATTGAGACTGGTAGGGCCAACCCTCCTCTGTGCTGGTCTTCTTTGCTGTCTCCTTCGCGTTCTTCTGTGCATATGTCTGTGTCGTTGCTGCGGTGACTGCAGATGGACACCATGTCGTGTTGTTATCGTTGACAAGGATAAAATGAAAAAACTCGAACCAACATCAACAACATTGCTCCCCCAATCGAGTCAACAACCAACAACAACAGTTACCAAACCGACAAGAACACCTAGTGCAACAGCCTCATCATCAAACCCTCCAGTCAGGGCTCACGAACTACTACTCTCCCCCGCCCAGTTGCCAGAGTGAGATTATTATTCCTTTTATTTCATTTATTTCTTCTCGACGAACAATTTTTTACCTCTAAAGATGAAACAAGGAAACTGACAAGTCGTTGAATAAATGAATAAATAAACTACTGCCGGTTTTGCCCCAATACTTACGTGGCTGCTTCGTGTCGATATTTCACCTCGATCAAGTTGCAGAATTGTGAGACGAGAGAGAAAACATTTAGAATAGTTTAATATGAATTTTAGTGCTTTAATGGAGTTACAATAAAGGATCGGCTAATTTTTTCTACATGTCGAATGCTCATTAAAAAACACCTAATGACTATCTTCGCTTTTACATTGGCATAGATATTCTTCATTTCCACTGATTCCCAGAACTGAGGATGTTTATCCCAAACCAACAGCTAGTATTTTTGTTTTTTCTCTTCAATCGATGGAGTTCACATTTATTGCAAAGATTATTAAACGTAGATTGGCATATATCGAATTAAACATTTTTCTCAATTGTCGATTTATCTCGAGAACTATAAGTTTAAGGTGAAAAAGTTGAAGAACTTTTGTGGAGCTAATTCAATGTTGGAACAAAGTGTTTTTCCTTTTTCATTTCTTCCCAGGATCAATAGTTTGAATTGGCTGTTCTTCGAATTGTGTTTCAATCATTATAAAAATTTATTCAACCATTTTGAACCTCTAAACAGGTGAGAATCGGCCAATAAGTTTCCAAGTAATTTGGTTTTTTAAAGATGGATAAACATCCTAAAGATAAAATAATTGAATCAATTGAACTATATCGTCCAGAGTATCATTCACTCTTCAAGACACATCCACTCCTGATCTTGGGAATCATCAGAGGATCAGGACAGCTGGAACTGCATCTGATCGGTTGAGGAGTAGCTGTAGATTACAGGAGTGTCGGAAGTGGTTGCACTCGTGCCAGATATGGCATAGAGCTGTTCCTCATAAATAGTGCTTGGTGGTTCAGTCTTTCCATTAGCATTTGGGCCTGTTAGGCACGGTGGTGTCTGGTCCCCCTTGGTCGCCTCCCTGTACTTCTGCAGGTACATCTTCAGGGGCTCAACGTAGTTATCGAAGCCCAGAGTCGTCATCGCAAACAGAATGTCCTCGCCGTTTATCGTCTTTCGCTTCTCCATGTGACATCTGTCAGAGGCTTCAGACGTTATGAAGGATATGAACTCGGACACGCACTCTTGGACACATTCCCTCGCGTCTTTGGCGATCTTTCCTGCCTCAGGTATAGCCCGTTTCATTATTTTTGCAACATTTGCAATTGGAAGGAAACGATCTTGTTCACGGAGAGGACCAGGAGCACCACCACCATTTCCACCGTGAAGAGGATCTCCTCCGTGGTTCGAGTCGTCTGTATTCTCTGGATCATCTGGTGGAATTATTTTTTTTACTTGTGGAGGCTACACGAGGACGCCATTCAAGTATTTGTATATTTATTCTTCAGGATTTGTTCATTAGCAAATTAATTAATTTAATATCCTTTGAAGAATTCGAAAATATACTTGTAAAAATTAAATAAAAATTATCCAATTCAATTTTTAATTATAAAATTGTAAATAATATCGTTAGAGACTGTCTATTTAAATATTCTTCAATGCTTTTTTGCGTTTTTGCGTCATCATAAATTGAAATGTCGAGAAAAAAATCTCAAATGTAATAAACTAGCAGTAGAAAAAAATCCATCTCAGAGAGGATGAGATTTCAAATATTTTGCGCCATTGTGGCATTCTAACCACCATCTCCCATCTGATTCGTTGGTGAATGGTCCACTCCAACAGCCACATTCAACTCGACATTTACACCTGAATGTCAATGTGCTCATTCCAACCGAAAATAGCAATCAATCAAATCAAGGAAAATAACAATTGTGATGTCATTTAATTGTACAACAGTATCTGTGACATTTCGTAGGAACAAGTTGTTACCTTCTAGATCGTCAGACACTCCGATATAATTCCCAGAGACACCCCCGGATGTGAAGAAATTGCTTGTACCTTGGGGTCCACCATCATCACCACTCTCTCCACTGTTTTCCATTACTTACTCAGTTTATTGATAAAATATTGCTCGAGCTTTATTTTCTGTTGCTGTTTGACACTGGTCTAGTGAATGCACTCTGCAGTGTTACCACAACATAAAAAACACCCCAGAAATCCCCAGGCACGTTCAAAACCACTATCAAATCACATAATTGTGATATTTATTTCGTCAATTAAATATATTGAGAATTCTTCAGTAACGAAGGAATAAAGAGTAATAGGTCGGCTTGTCCTCTTATCAAGATTTTCGAGAAAAATCTCTGAATTCAAGAACAATGACGAAATTTTTCTTAAGATCTTTTTTAAACAATGCCATGAGAACTGCACAAAAGAGATTTACAAAAATATCACTATCACGTGTAGATTCAAAAATATTTTCTCTTTTCGCTGCTGTATAAAAAAATACTCATCAATTAATTTAGTTTAATTAATTATTAAATTGAACTACTGATTGAAATGATTAAATTAATGGTTACGAAGCAATCGCATTCATTTTTATTCGCTGAACATCCTATTTACAGAACTGACTGAACATTCACCAATATTCAATTATAGAACGCGAAATGGTAAATCTCAACTACGGAAAAGAGTAATCCGACTGATCGTCTCCATTGAATAAAAAAAATAACTGAAACGTTGCAGCCAATGGAAACTCCTCGAATTTCGGAAACGCGGCAGTGACGTGTTAGTCAGTAGACCATCGAAAAATCAAAGGGATCAGGAGCAATTGTTTATTGAAATAACGAATACTGAGCACTTAATGGAGTTAATCGTAACTATCTATGAGAGTGAATTCCGCGAGGAAGGTTTTGATTAAATGTGAAATTTCTCTAAATTCTTTTTCCATTTTTCTCTTCTTTTTTTTTTGCAATTTTTCGTTTATTTTATCTATGCGGGTACAACCGCGCCTGGAAATGAACTCCTTAAGCAAGCCCGTATTTCTTCTTGAGAGATTCTGGCATCTCGGGTGGTGGTGGTCGCGGCATACGGAGGTAGACCTTGACGGCGTCGTAGATGAACCATTGAGCTGCTGTCAGTGTACCGATCATCACAATCCTGGGGGCAAGACCCTTCCAGACACCGGCGAAACCGAGTTTCTTGAGGACCTGACCTGCAGTTGCTCCTTTCTCTTGATTGAGTTTAGAAACGACCTGAAAAAAGGCGTTAAATGCATTTTCTCTTGAGTCTAATTTTATAGTTTCATACAGAAGTGCCAAATTATTTAATTACTTATTTTATTTATTTTCACTGTTCTTCATAGAATTACTTACGGAATCAGCTGGATGAGATACGATAGCACAGAATACACCAGCGATATATCCAGCAGCAAAAGTAACAACAAGTTGTTCGCCTTTGGTGCAGGCTTCCCTGGGCTTAGGTACAACGTACTTGTAAAGTAGCTCGAGGGTGCGCTCGAAGCAGGCGAACTTCATCATGGTGTATGGAATTTGACGAAGCCAAAGGGGGACAAGACTTTTATAGAAGCCCCCAAGACCCTCGCCCTCGTACATTTTGGGGAGGGCCTCTCTGAGGGTATTTGCAAAGCCAGGCATCGTCTGGATTCGAACTTTGGCAGCTTCCATAGGCGACAGGGCGATGTCAGCGAAAAATTCGGCAGAGGCTGATGCAGCCAGATACAAAGTTGTCCTGTACTCGTAGGACGTCTCCTCGCCGAGCATATTGGCGTAGTACACCTTAAAGACTTCATAGAGACCGAATTTGAACATTCCTTGCATAGAGTACCCGAAGAAAGTCGGAGACCAGCCCCTGACCAGTCCCCTGGTACCATCCTCAGCTAACGTAACCTGTTTAATCGATGAAATAGGCAATTTATCATCCAGAGACTGATTTATTAGCAAAAAATATTCCTCCGGATTTTAAGACGGAGAAATAAATTACCTTGAAGCCGGTGACCACAGACTTGTACTTGGCGGGATCAACCTGAATACGACATTTCACCAAGTCAAGGGGTGTTACCATCGTATGGGTTAGGCCACACGACAGAATACCACCGAGACCACATAGCAAAAAGTAGTGGTTCGATCCGAATTCACAGCTGTCTGAAAAATTAATTTCCATTAATATAATGGTTTATTACTCTCAAGAGATCGTCAAACCTGTTGCCAATGTCTCATTTTCAACGCAATTGAGAGGTCATAATCCTCAATTTTGATAATGAAATTTGGGCTGAAGGTATTCCATTGTTGTATTACATTTTTCAGAGTAGCTTCAGTCCTTTTCTTTTTACCAAAAGCGAGTAAACACGAACAATCAATTAAATTGAGGATAAGAGATGTTCAGCACGTTCTATTATCTCTCAATCGGTTAGTCAACAATGAAAATCAGAAGGGATACAGTAGTATTACTAGACTCACAATGTCTGTTAAATTAAAGAAGATTTTTTCAAAATTCATGCAATTTTGGAATTTAAAAATCAATGAATGTCTGATGTTAATTGATCTTTATGAGGACATATAGGCCGTAGCTATTCCATTTTTAGGAGTAGCTGCAGCCCTTTCCTTTATCATAAAAGCAATTAACCTTGAGTAATTAATTGAATTGAAAATTCAGCATTATCAGGATGTCTGTTATCCCTTGATTCTCCATGAAATGCATTTTCGTGTGACAATGAACAAACAATTGAGCAAACGCTGGAATATTTTTAGTTCTGACAGGAGTTATTTAAATCCACTTGGCAGAACGTGAGATTGGTAACCCTGAATCAAGGCTGGTCAGCTGATCGATTGTCTAAACGCCTCAAGATTGCTCTAGTACCGGCTCAAGATCTAGGTCAATGCTTCCTCAAATTATTCCACGCGTCCCTGACTCCCAAAGCTGCTCCAATTAACTGTCATTCGACAATGTCGTGACACTGTCTACACTTGAAAAACAATACAGATGAATGGTACAATATTTTTTGTATTCAAATTGTTCTTTCAAGGTCGATAGATTCATACTTTAACAAAATGGTTGCCATTACGCAATGACAGCCGCGCGGGCGCTGTTCCACTGACATCAAGGTATGTACATAGCTAACCCTTCGTATCACCCCGGATTATATAATAAAAATGTTACAATAAATACCGACTTTTTCTTATTCAATTTCTCGCCTACGAAGTCCTCAAAACAGTTTTCTTCAGCTTAACAGAGAGATCCTCTTATTAAACCATCAAATTTGTATTTCAATTCAACGAAGAAAAAACCTGAACAAAAATCTGAATGGAAAGAATGAAGAACAAAGATTTTGGGCTTGATGAAAGAAAAATATGAATGGAAACCTCCAAGTTTTTGGCTCCTGCTGCTGAGTGGATAAAATTCAGGCAATCCCAATCGAAATCCGTCAGATTCCTTTTGCAAAACCTAGCTACTTCAAAATGAATCTGTCCTCCAAACCGAACGCTTTACATAACACAAATTATTAATTGAATTAACATGATCGCTTGCAAAAAATCAAAATCTGCAGAGCTAATGAGATTAGACAAATTAAATGGTAACCAAGCAATTAATTTCACTAAGAAAACTTGAAAATGTTGAGAATGAACTCACCTCCTTCAGCAACACTGAAAGCTGCGATATTCCTCTTGGGAACAAGTGATTTTTCGTCCTCATTGACAGCTTGACATTTAGCCTGTGAGAAGGGTCCCGCGAAGGGGCTCATTTTGGCTGCTTCAAGCATTGATGACCACATTTTCTGTTCCTTGATACCACACTTCGCCTGTAGAAAAAAACAATAAAACCCGTGAATCTCACCCGAACTCCTCAAAAAACCCTCACCCAAGACTTATAATCAGATAAACCAGTTAAATAATTCCAACAGATTGAATAGATCTCAGACCTGGAGTTAACGAACCCTCGTCTCCGCGGTGTAAAAATGGAGTGGAAGTGGACGGAAAGACTCGGAAAGATTAATCCCACCAGCCACCAGCATAGATGGAAAATACTGAAGATAAGCGACTCAGAGACTCCAGAAAAATTTCCACCAAGTGCTTCCTCTGATAATCGAAAATCCCTAGGGTATTGGGCTAGCCATTGGTCACTGCAGAAACCAATGAGAGCATCGAAGCTACTTGAAAAAAGTAGGCGACATCTGACAATGAGCGACAAAACGTTGGTGGTTCATCTATCTCCTCAGAAACTTCACCTTACCCACCACCTTCTCCACCTCATTCGTGTGTGATTGCACACTTCAGTGATGATTAGTGGCAGTTGATGATAGTTAAAAAACAGTGCCAACTCCAATAATAATGACATTTACGGTAATGAAATGATCCATAGACTCACACAACCACCAACGAGTGACAGAACGTTTATCCAATAAATTAACCTGTGAAGAAAGACAATATTTATTAGTAAAAACAAAGAGATGGATCCTGTCTCGTCACTTCATTGAAATATTAATGAAACTGAAAAAACGTAAGAGCTTTTGCGCCCAGTGCGTGAGTATGCCCGCCAGGGTCTCCAAGAAAATTGTTGGAATGATCATCAGGAGCAGGAAGACCATCATCAAGGATGGAGTTATTACGGTAAGATTACGTGTCCCATTGTTCACCAGGTTGACTAATTTGGGATTTCCAGGGACTTTTTCTGGGCTTTTTCTGTTAAATGAGAAGGAAATGCGTGGAAACTATAGCAATTGCCACATCGCATTGCCACTTTTTATCTCTCCAGTTCTTATCTGTCTACCTACCTGGACATGCAACGTGAACTGAATTATCAACTGCCATATTTTTTCCACCTGAAGGAATTACTCGGATTTACGTGTGCGTAACGATAGCGAGAGAAAAATTCAGTGTTCATCATTTATTTTCAGAATTCCAAGTTTACATTCTATTTTTTTCATTTCTTCGTTCGTTTTCAAATTAATTTTCATGATGCTTGACCTTGAGCTTTTGATTTTGTGGTCAGTATTTCGTTATCTGGGTGACGTTTGATTATCGTTTCATGTTCGTTTATCATTTTTTTATCCTTTTAATGCCTGTCGATAGTACTTTCAGTGGGCATTGTTTGTAATTCCTTTCTTTCCTGGTTTTAAAAGTTGTTTCTTAAAATTTATAAATTTGTAAGAAGACTTCATTTCGATAAGAATTGGAAATCCATATTTCGTCTATTCATGTTTAGTCAGTTATTTTAATTAGATCCTTTCTAACCATTATTGCAGTATAACTTTGTGAAGGCAGAGGTAGTTGAAAAACTTACATTGGCGTTTCGATTTTGCAGTAGGCAACTTTTATCTTATCGAAATTATTGGTTTTACTGGTAATTACACGTATTTTCACCGCTGTTGGCAACCTTGACCCATTCTAACACGTGGACTCATTTCCTTGTCATATCTTCAATATGTTTCCCATTATTTCACTTGTGAAAGTCCATCATCTATATGAGAATTCGAAAAATTCCATAGTGCCACGTGAGGTAACACGTGCTCCAATGAATTTTCTATTCTTTCCATATGCTCCGATCGGATCTCTCGGGATTTTCACAATCCATACCAATAGCCGTCAATTGTCTCAGACATTGAAGTAAATTGAATCACAGCCATAATTTTCTGTCTCTTAAAATAATTTTCCCATCGAAAAATAGCATACTGGCATAGAAAAAAAATCATGTAATAATCCTTCAAATATATTTATTCTGATATTTTGAGTTTTCAAACAAAAATATTTGCATTGGGTTAAATAAAGCCTTCATTGTCATTTTTCAAAAACTTTTGATTACTTGAGAAAGTATGACAATTTACACGTAACAGGTGCTGAATTGAAAGTTCTCTTGCGAAATTAATGGCGAGAATAATCCCCGAAATAGAAATACTTTGTTCTCCTCCGAATGATGCTGCGAAAATCCCCTGTACCATCTGTTCAGGCCATGCTTTATATCAGCTGTGACTTATCACAGGAGCGTTATGTCACTGGACGATTGCTGTCTCTGGATTCCCCATCAAATACCAACTGGCCTGGGGGGAGAACCGCGTAACAGCCTCATGCCCATGACATCCAAATTGCTTCAACAAGACCGAGTACCAATTCCGCAATGATCTCCACCCCCACTCCCTAGAAACCCAATTCAATTAAAATCTTCAATTCTCCTCCGCGGAGAAAAAATGAGAAAAAAAGAAAAAGAAAAGAACAGAGTTGAACAATCAGTTGGACTTGGTACTGACCGTACTGATCAACATCTGAAAACCTTGACTCGAAAATCCCCTAGCCCTGGGTTATCATCTCGTGAAGCATCCCCATTCGCGCAGGCTCGTGTTTCTCTGGCAGGCGCACTGGCTTCAACCAGTAAAAAGAAAGAAACAATGAGGGAAAAAAAAATCACGAGAACAGGCGAGAACGGGTGAGATCACCCACACACTCGGGGTAGGGTCGGCAATGCAGTGGTGCGCGGTTCGTTGGAGAAGTAACTCGCCACAGCTTGTTGTCGATAAAACCAGTGGAGAAAACAGTGTCTACCGTCACTAAAATCCTACAAAAGTCCCGAAAATTCCTCCCCATAAATTGCCCTGATCAAAAATTAATAATCAAATACATTGTTAAATGAGGAATAGAGAGCTAATAGAGGGATAATTTCTAGCAAAAGGCCATCTGGCTGGACCTAATCCCCCGCCACTGGGAAAAATCTCCTTTTTGTGATGCTGAGTGTTGCAGAGGATCACTTGTTATCAGTGATACTCTTTTCCCTGTAGATCGAAAGATAATGGCGTGTCCGTTAGAATATTGATCGTTTCTACGGTATGATTTACCGAAAGGACTAAAAAAAGTGGTGAGACAGTGCCCTGGTGACGAGGTATCCGGGTCACAGGAGTTATGCGTTCGATATCCACTGGAGGAATTACGTTGAATTACCGTGATCTTGTGATAAATTACATTGTGGATAGCCTTGATATAATCACAAGGTCTCGCATAAAAGCCGGTGAATAACACTCAACAGCTGAAAAATAATAAAAGACGCTGCTATATCCTCGCGAATTTTCTATTTTTTTTTTTATATCCCATAACTTTTCTCTACTGTCAAAATTATTAGTAAAACGAAACAAGTCAGCTGATTGTCAGCGTCAAATCAAGTTGAGATGAGAGAAATTCGTTGCTAAATTAAGCTCCAATTCGTCTTATATCTTCTCGCCTCTGCGGTTCTTCCGTGTAGTATTAAAACAATTCACTAACCTTGATAAACTTCTATTAATAATTCATCTCAAGATTCAATGGATAAACTTTAAAACGGATAAACGCGACAAATCTGATCAGTGCGTTATCAGAAGTAGCATCCAGGAGATAAATTCCTGGCGAAAAACATTGATGAAAATAGTGCTTATCGTACGAATAGACAGTTGAACGAGGAACAAAAAAAAACATAAAAAAAACACTAATAAAGAGTGGCAAACATGTCTCGATAAGATTGAGTTGACATCAGGTTGAGGAGCAGCGTCTCGATGGTCATCACTGAGGGACTAGATATAATGCAGTGTGAGAGGTTTAGGGGTCCAATGAGCCACTGGCTGTGAAGTAATCTCCTAGAAGTTGGAGGAACGTGGGGAACGGATGATGCCTCCTTAAGTATCGAACTCTAGTTTTCTTTTTTTTTTCTTTTGTTTGGCCGATGGAGGTGAGTTTTTGAGTGGGAAAGGGGCCCGAATGGTGTCATGCCCCCGGGGGCCAAGGGTGGGGCAGAGGGCCTTGATCCCTCGTGTTCAGAGTTGCATGTGAGCGAGGAGATATCTCCAGCCAACATAGCACCCCCTCTGAACCTCCTGCAGAGATGCTACAGACACATGAAGGTCAGAGTAACAAAAAAAAAATTCATCAAGTATTTCTCATTTCCAGCGCTTTCCAATGGCACGAGAATTAGTTCACCTCGTGATTACGGTCTAGAGTCTAGACCATAAATTAATGGCAATGGCAATGGCTTGAAGAATTGGTTTTCTCTTTTCAGAGCTCGGGCATTGGAGAGGCGAGTGTTTACCACGCACTGGTTGTGATATTCCTGGAGTTTTTTGCGTGGGGACTCCTGACAATGCCAATAATATCGGTCTTGAACGAGACGTTTCCCGATCACACGTTTCTCATGAATGGACTGATCATGGGAATCAAGGGGATACTATCGTTCCTGTCTGCACCGTTGATCGGTGCACTCTCCGACGTATGGGGAAGAAAATTTTTCTTACTCATAACTGTTGCATTTACATGTGCACCAATACCACTTATGAGTATTAATACTTGGTGGTTTTTTGCTATGATATCAATAAGTGGAGTTTTTGCCTGCACTTTCTCCGTTGTTTTCGCATATGTTGCTGATGTGACTGAGGAGAGTCAACGATCGTTGGCTTATGGATTGGTTAGTATTGAGAAAACAATTTTTTTTATTTTTCTCCTTTGTGGAAATCCTCTACAAATTATTATTTTATTTTTCAAGTTATTTAGAAGCAATCTGCTGATAACATTGTCCATACGATTAATAGTTTTTGAGATTAATCAATATTCAATAAAATTTAAAATTTCGAATTTTATCGATGCAAAGCACCACTTCTCTACTGAATTATGAATTTCAAGAGGAAAGAATGTTCAAAAAATGGTATTTTCAATTTTGTTTGATTTCTTTGGTTGAAGAAAAAACTGATGCAATTTAAAAGAAAAAATCGTTGAAAAAAAAAATCGAAAGTTATTGAGATAATGATATCCATGTTGCATTTATGAAAACTCCTTTATAAAATTTGGAATGAAGGTTTCAGCAACATTTGCTGCTAGTATGGTGATAAGTCCAGCTCTGGGTGCTTGGACAATGACAACATACGGTGAAAATTTAGCAGTGGCCCTAGCGACAGCAATAGCCATACTCGACGTATTCTTCATTCTCGTTGCAGTACCAGAGAGTTTACCAGAAAAGGCACGACCTCCCGTTCCTATTTCCTGGGAGCAAGCTGATCCATTTGCCGCCTTAGGAAAGGTAAATATTGAAATGAGCTTTGAATTATAATTGTGGACACAGGTGGCATGATAAGGGTGATTGCACGTGGCTTCTCTTTCAAATCCCTAAAAAGCTCCTTGATGGAGATCTTCTTTTAAGAATATTTTCTTTCCTGATTTGTAATGACAAGATTGTTGTTCTGATCAGGTGGGGAAGGACCACACAATTCTGATGCTGTGCGTCACTGTTTTTCTGAGTTATCTACCCGAGGCTGGACAGTACAGCTGCATATTCGTGTATCTTAAGCTCGCTATGGGTTTCTCAGCAGCAATGGTCGCGGTGTTTATTGCTGTTGTTGGTATTCTCAGTGTTGGGGCCCAGATTCTACTCGGACCACTCATGAGAACACTCGGGAGTAAGCACACCATCATGCTTGGCCTCCTGTTCGAAATGCTGCAGTTGATGTGGTACGGTTTTGGATCGCAAACTTGGTAAGACAATCCATTCTCCAATTCCCTCATTTATACATTTTTTTCTAATTTAGCTCAATTGCTATTAGTTATTCTCCCAAAATTCATAAAAAATTACTTGACATTTAATAAACCAATTCAATGATTGATCCTAAAATCGATGAAAATGCATTTCGATATTTCTGCGCCCTCCCACAATTTTTGGTTATTAAAATCTTCAATTTCAATATTTTATTCGTGGTTTCATGATACAGAATACTCAGGAATTCTCCCAAATTTCTTATAATTTGATTTAAAACGTCGATACTTAATAAAAAAATTTGTAGACAGTAATCGGATATCAAGCGCTTTAGGAAAATCCATTTTTTACAAGCATGTAAATAATTTTTCCCTCGCCAGACAGGAGTTAAACCAACTTAGTTATTCTTATTCCCTTCCATTTCCACACCCCATTGATTTTTCCTCGCAGAAAGTTTCTTAATTGGGTCAATGCTGTATAGACTCGCGTGTTCGAAACGCAGTAAAAATTCATTTTTTTGGGGTTTTTCCTTTTTCCCTCAAGACATGAAAAGTCCTCCCTCTCAGTAATTAACTAGAATCAATTGTCATTGAATGATGAGCCGAAAAATACTGGTGAATACGCATCCTTGAAGGTAACGTAGTGAACCGTACAGTTCTCACCATTTTCAAGTAGAGGCTCCGTACAAATCCCACACAAATCGATTTTTTTATTATATATCTTTGTGGACTCAGGTCAAATCGATTGACAATTTCCCCTCGTCTACTTCCTTACTCTACCCCCTCCACGAACAAATAGTTGAAACAAAATGAAATGATAATAATATTTTCCATGCGTTTATACAATTGAATGAAGCCAGCAACCTTGAGCACAATTTTCCCCCATTATCAACGTTTCAAAGCCACAAACATGCCACAACAACGATAACTGCTGCCTCAGGCATCGAGAAATGAGGAAAGAGTCTGTGAAATCCATTAATACAGTTTGTAACTGACAATTGATTAAGACTGAATAGCCGAGCGTGCACAATTGTTTGAGAAATGAATCCAAAGTGTTCGAGTTTATCACTTGAGCTTCTTTTGTACCGAGCAGTTCGATTGACTTCAGTCGATCTACACGTACCGATGAGCATAAGATTGAGCTATTTTTATCGAACAGACGCACGAGGATTTTATTAGAATCTCACTGAGACCTGTCACGTCACTGCCTCGAACCTCTAATCAGTTATTATTATCCTTATCGATAAATCGATTGTCGTTATGACATTTTCATGGAGGCCTGAGGATAATCAACGCGAGATAGATCATGACGATAATGACAGAATTCAAAACATTTAGTGATACAATTTTCATGATTAATCTATGGTACTAATTTTGATTCTTCAAATTTCAACGGATTGAAATCTCATCGCTAATAAAATCTAGAGCGTTGAAAATATAGATAATATTATCATCAGAAAATTTCTAAAAGGCTAGAGGGAAGAAGTCTTGAGTAAAAGAATTGATGAAGACAGGAGACCAGCAGAGCAATGGATATTCCTAATATGAAATAATGGAAAATTATTTAAATTAATTGGTATTTTTTTAATGATGCTTAGACGAAGAAATTGAGAGGAAAATTGAATATTTGCAGGATGATGTGGGCAGCTGGAGTACTAGCATCAGTATCAAGCATAACGTATCCAGCGATATCAGCCTTCGTGTCAATGCACTCGGATGCTGACAAACAGGGTCTCGTCCAGGGAATGGTGACTGGTATGAGGGGCCTCTGCAACGGCCTTGGACCAGCCATGTTTGGTGTTATATTCTATTTGTTCCACGTCGATCTCAATGACGATACACCATCACTACCTCTCAAACCATCATTACTTGATGATAGTAATAGAACTGGCACTGCAACGCAGCACGTGGATATTATTCCCCAGGTATCTATACCGAGATTCTTTTATCCGAGTCCTAACCAATTTTTTTTCACTATTAAAATGTTTTCAGAAGGCTTTTTTCCAACTTTTGCCATCATCTCATGACAAGAAACATCTCTTCTCTAGTCAATTGATGGAGCGAGATAAGAAAAAAGAGAAATGGCTATCGTTTTTCCTGTATATCAGCTGTAATCCAGCAGAAATACCACAATTTTTATTAAGATATTTTTTCAGAGCGCAGTGAGAGCCACAAAAAAAAATCATATGTTAAATTGTGGTATGTTCAGGAAATACTGACATCCAAGTAATTCAATCTCGCTTTGTCAATTGTTGAGTGACTATTGTGTTGATTCGATGACAAAAAAAAACAATTAATATTATTTTCTGTTGAGATAAATCATCATTTTGATATGATGATGAAATTTCAGCTGGTGCCAGGACCCCCCTTCGTGTTCGGCGCATTATTGGTGATATGCGCTCTACTCGTTGCTGCTTTTATACCAGAGTCAAGTCCAACAACAACAGGCCCCTTGCATCACCATTCTTCCACATCGCGGAGGCCATCCGGTAAATACGCATATCAGAAATGTACGTTACAGGTTTAAGTGGACAAAAAAAAAAACGAAAATGTGATAGGGAAATGCCTCAGGTGGTGAATTCTGTGAATTTTTATTATTCCCTTTTTTTACTTCTAAAAGAATGGAAATTTACTAAATTTTGTGTTGAGTAATTTAAAATAAAGAGTAGTAGGACCTCAAATATAATAGTTTAGTGCATGAATTGTATAATAGGAGTATAAAATGGAAAATTGAATAATGGCAATAAAAATTTCAGGTTTATCTCTGGATGTTCATTACGAGCCGGAGAGGCTCGGCAGTGGCCGCATCAAGGTTGGTCCACTATCGCCCCTAGTCGACAATTGTAATTCAGCCGCCCTCTAGCTGTTATTAACCCGTAAAAACATCATGATCCACCGAGATGAGACCTATCCTGCCAACAGGTCGAGGCCACATGCCTCTGGCTAAAAATGCCAGCCAAAAGAAACGACACGTGCGCACGTTATACGTGAACCGATTTTTTAGTCTAGCGCTTCAAACCGTCAATGAAAATGACATTTTGTGAAATTTTTTTTCCCAAAGAAATCGATAAACCCCACATTTGGGAAATTGCGGATAATAAATTGTTGGTGAGTCGGCTCTAGGTGCTACGTAATTAGCTTCTCGCCGAGTGCACAAAATAATTTTAACTACAGGTTTTCAAGAGCGGCCGTAGCCAGTGGACGATCAGAGAGTCACAAACAGTATTTTCACTAGATTAAAAAATCAAATTGTAAAAAATGTTTTTTCAATCAACTGAGTCGAGTGAGCTTTCGGTGTCGCATCATCTCAGCACTTGGTTACATTCAATATCAATAAAACATCTGTGATTTGAACGTTTCATTTCTCATAATTTTACAATTTTTGTGAAATAAACGCAATTTTTATATTTTTTATTCTCGACCATCACTAAATCACAGGATCAATACGAGATTAATTTTTCTCTCGGTGTTTCATCATTTTTTTTTCTCCATTTTTTTTGTTCAACTCGCAGTAGCCAAGTGGTAAAACTTTTGTCAAATTTCCTCATATCAGTAATTATGAAATTATTACGGTAATTTCATCATTATGACATTGTTGAAATGGACTTATTGGGGAGAAAACAAATTTAATACAGTCGTTAACGTGAAAATAAATAATTTCTACAATCAAAACAATTATATCTCTCTACAATGAACTGCGAGAGCAACGACAAAAAAAAATAATATCAATCATTTATTATTTTTGTACCATATATTACATTCCTAGCAACAAAGACCTAAACAATTATCTCTGATTAGTCTATCCTTTTCTTCTCGTGCAGTGACGAAGCGAGAAACGCGAAAGTTCCCCAAGCCAAAGATCGATTAAGTTTACTAGAAGGCAATGAAAAGTGAAAAAAAATATGTTTGGGACATTTGTACTGACAAAAGAATTTCAGAAGTGCATTAAACCTAAAGACAACAATTTAAATATCCCCTGGCACGCTCGAGGAGCTCTCCTGCTGGCTAAAACTTGCGTCAATTGCTTAAACCTGTTTCCTGTGAATTTCAGAGGGGAAAAAAATAATAATTAGCTTAATAGTAACGATAGGAAAATGAGAGAAATGAGTCATGTATGGAGAGATCTTTGAGTCGAGTGCTATGGTTAACTTAGGTAATATCAAAAGCCCGTGTTGAAAATGAGGAACGTGTCTTTTTCATTTGTAGAGAGATCACATTTTGCAAGTTGTCACTTTTAAATTTGTTAAAGGAAAGAGCAATTACGCAGCTGTACTGTAATAACAAAAAAAAACATCATGAATTTAATATTTACGAATGTGACGTTGCGATCAAGATTATGCCTAGTTTAAGGTTTAGAACTTGATTTGATGATGGAGAATTGATATTGTCAATCGAGTGAAAAAATGTACATGTACGATTTATGATTGCAACAGTAGAAATAAATTATTTTTAAGATAAAGGAAAGAACGTTTTGCCCGTTAATAATTATCCAGCCTTACAGACATCCTTATTTACATTTATTCATGGTTCAAATACTAAATTTATAAAAAATATAGAGATCAGACTTATGCATTTATCACGTTGACGATATTTGGAGACATTGTCACTAGTATCGACCCACTCTGTTGCCACAATTCAATAGCTTTGTTGACAATCAACTCAGAAGTTTCTTCGTTTATCTGCAAACAATTTATTAAAGATATATTGTTGTAATTGAAAGTGGAAAAAAAGGCAACTCACATGAGATATTGCATCTAGAATGCCGTCGATGCTATCACACTGTAGCAAAACTCTTCTAAAAGTCGTGAGAATGACAATAGCCACAAAAACTAGAATTTTGTATGCACCAACAGCAACTTTATCCCAAATTCTGTAATTAAAGTAGATCCATTAATTCTTACTATGAATTTATCAATTTTGCGCATAACAGTTAAACAAATCAGTTTATAAATAGGTGAGGGATTGATTACTTTGGTATCGATCCATCACTGATGATTCCAGCGAAGCAAGAGCAGAACCAGTCATCCAGAGGGATATTATTCAGTCCCTCGAATTTACCCAGGTGTTTGTAAAGAGTCGGGTCCTCTCTTTCCAACAATTGCAAGGTGCATTCTAAAAGTTTGCCCACGTCCTTGTGAAACTTCTGCACATGATCCAAGAATCCAGCCAAAATCCAATACATGTCCACCATCTTCTCGTACTCATGGTCACCCTCCATGATATGCCAGAGGCTCTCTGCCATTTTATTCATCGCTCTGAATATAATTAATAAAAAGAGGATATAAATCAATAGGTTCTGCCATCAATTGATGAATTATTGAAGGAATGAAATTAACTCGGGAATTGTTCTCCAGCAAAATCCATTTTAAACTTGTTGCCCTACTACCTAACAAGAGGAGACTCCAGTTGTGCTCCCATGTCGATTTTCGCTCGTCTCGTTCTCAATAGCCACATCATCAAAAAAATTCTGTGAGGCTTGGTCGTCTCATCAACAATCTTCGTGACCTTAAGAGCTCTCCTCAAATCCTGGAACTCAACCCTCCTCTGGAGAGCCACGAACTCTCGACTCTCTGAATAAATTGGAGTAATTCCAAAGAGAATCTTCCAGAGGAAATTTCTGTGAATCATCGGGACCGTAAATCTCAGGCAGAAGTGCTTCAACTTGGCGGTATCAAAGGGCCTCTCCTTCAAGAGTATCTCCAAGGATTTTTTCTCTTCAACACTTCTGAAACCGACCTGTCAACAATGGTGCAATCCTTGAGATAACCTCTACTCTTCAAAAAATCCAAGTAAATCCCTCAACATGCCACATTCCAAACCTTTTCATAGTACGAGGACCTGAAGTTCCTCTCGTCCGTCATATCCCCAGAAAATAACTTCACCCCTGGCAATCAAAAATTGGTTGTAACACTTCGACAAACAAGAACACACACAATTGTCACCGTCACCGGGGACAGCGCTCGCCCTGCGTCGCCTGCATATACTCCATTGCCCTCCATTTTTTCCTTGCGGGGGACGTAATTGGTCCATTTGAACGATCTCTATTGCTGCGAGGGAAGACAAGAAGGAAGACAACAAAGGGACGAAGAAAAATTAATAAATTCATATATTCAATACGAGAAATTACAGTAATTGAAATAAAAGGACGAAATTTAAGGATGAAGCCTTTAGATGATGAATTGCTGAAGAATAAAAACCAGGTGATTGAGTTGAATACTTCCGATAGCGGAAGTACCGGGAGTCTGTGCACAACCTGCAAACGTGAATTGTCGTGGGGTTGTGAAGAGAAGTCAAAAAAGGATAATATGGAGTCTAAGAACGATCCTGAAGACGATGTTCTTGATGACCTGTTGGCGGCCTCTAAATCTCTGTCCCAGATCAGTATGCAAGACGATGACTTCGACATAGACCTAGACAGCCTCTACAATCTGGAAAATTTGAGTAAAAGTAAGGGTTCGCAAGGCAGTTCAGATGAATTAGTCACTTTTGAGACGGTCCAGGAATATTCTTCTGTATTGCATAATAATGGGAATTCGAGACTCTCGAAACTGAAGGGCATTCACGACATTGGACAAGAAGATTTAGTGGATGAGGGGTCTGATTTCTGCTTGAGGATGTCCTCCCTGAGACAGAATGTTCCTTCTCAGCAAAGCGCGGCGGTTCCGT